TGGAAGTCTCATCTTGCTCTGCAGCAGATTCTCATCTTCCAGTTTGGAAAAGATGGCCTGTCTGGTGATGTGAGAATGTAAGACTGGCTTTTACTGTCAAAGCGGCCCCTTATCGCTGCAGTTCGAAACCTCTACTCCGTCCTTCCCCTTGGAGTGTTAGTGGGCTGGCACCACATTCTTCTTTTGGGAGTTGGGGGAACTAGGGCATGTCATCCCCGGTGCCCATCAGGGCCCTGCTGTTCAGTTCCCGGGTGACGACTCCTCTGAAAGGCTGTGAACCTCTTGCCCTTGAGATTCATGCTAATAAAGCATTCATTCACTAAGGTCTTGATGCATCCTTGTGAGCCCTTGTGCTGGGAAGTGAGGACACAAAATTCAGGCATGCTACTAGCCCTCAGAGAGCTCCCAATCCGGTTGAATATATAAACACACCAGAAACAAATTCGGGTATTATTTGGGATGAAGTAAGGTGCCCTGGGAAAGATTTATACACAGAGCCAAGGAGTTCAACACATTAGGAGGCTTCAACAAAGTGGTGGCGGCAGTGTTAGCAGCTCTCAGCTTGTGGTTGTCTTGCCTTCTTTGATGGTGTTCTCCTTGAGAACTTAATTTTTTTTACTTATTTCTACATTTCTAATGTGTAGGCTTAGGTGCCCTTCCTCACCTGTTTGAGAGGGATGCAGACTGGTAGCTTCTTGTGTTCAGTGTAAACAGAATGAATCGGCCTTAGGGAAAGAGGATTCTAGGCAGGAAAAGTTTAGTAGGCAAGGGCACTAAGACTGGAAAGCACATAGCCTGTATCTGGACCTAGGACCAGTTCACCTGTGCTGGAATGTAGGATGTCTATAGGGTAATGTGCAATGGGACTGAGATAAGTTGAGACTTGAATGCTAAGGAGAGCTTCGCAAGCTTGAGATCCTGGCTTATTTCAGTGGCAATAGAAGGTCTTGAAGGCTTTTGAGCTGAGCAATTATACAATTGGATTAGATTTGTAGAAAGTCAAGTAGTCCAGATCTGCTCTGTAGGAAGACGAGGTGGACAAATGGAAGACTTGTACCAGCCTTGTCTAATGTTATGTTCCTAGACAAGGGGTTCTCAACCAGGGGCAATTTTGCACCTCAAAGACCTTTGGCAATGCCTGGAGGCAAATCTGTTGTCACCACTGGGGGATGCTAATGACATGTAGTGGGTGGAGGCCAAGGATGCAGCTAAACACCCAGAATGCACAGGACACACACCCAACCTCCCACCCTCAATAAAGACCTTTCCAGCCTCAAACAATAGTTCCCAAGTTAAGAAATCCTGCCCTAGAAAGGAAAGTAGTGAAATTGGACCAGAGACAGTATCAAAGACCACTCTTAGTATCCTTTGGTATTCTTTATAATGCTTAAGTACTTGATATGCTGTCAATTCATCAGGCCTCATGACCTCAGTCTGTCTCATATATCTTCACCCTCTCATTCATTTCCTAAATATTTATCCTGCCACTTCTCTGTTATTCTGCAACTTTTTGCACATTCTGACATGATGACAAAACTGAAGAGAAGAGTTAAGCTCTGTGTCAACTGTCAACCTGTCTATAGGTGCGTTCTCAATTCTTGAATGGCTTAGCTTCTGGGAGCCGAATCATAAAAGGACACCCCAAGTTTGGGCAGCTGAAACAAAAATAAAGTGTTTCTGAGTAGCTGGCAAGCACAGACTTAGGTTATGAAAGGAGGGAAGCAGAGAGAGTCTGGGCTGCAGGCTTAACTAAGCAACAAAGGAAGTGGAACTCCATGAGAAAAGATGACATGGACTCTGAAAAAGACCAGCAAATGCAAAATCAGGGCTCTAAAATGCAAGGGATATAATCCTTCAACTGCACAAAAACCAAAGCTCTCTGACCCGTATATGGTCATTCTTCAAGAGGAAGACAAGGCCAGGATCAGAAACAACCCATTCTAAGTGTACTTTCCCATCCTTTGACCATCAGAGCCAAGAGTCATACCAGCCTGTTTGGAAACAGGACTGGCCAGGTCAGCTCCCTATCTTCCTGGCCAAGGACCCTGAAGTCCTTCTCATCCCTGGCTGTACCATCTACAGTGGTACCTTCTCCAACCTCTGTGGGCTCCCTGTTCTGCTGACTCAGCTTTCCGGGTTCCACCTCACTTCCCTCTTGGCCAGAGACAGCATCACCTGCCACAGGAGGTGCAGAGGAGCTTGAAAGGGCATCCATTTCCTCATGAAAGAACACGGGTCTGGCACACGACCTCTCCTCGCTTTCCGGTAACCTGACTGTAGGCTTTTGAACTTGGTGTGACACTGCGCTGGGGTCCCCAGCAAACCCTGCTCCTGGATTTATTCCTCCCACAGCCTGTAGCTGTACTGATGGCTCTGGAGTTATGAAACAGCATTACCGAGAGTGGCTCGGAATGTCCTGGTCTCACTGCGCCAGGGCATACCTGCACCACGGGACAAAGAACACAGGGGTCAGATCAGAAAGGACTAGATACCTCAATGCAGGGTTTTAGCGGCCCAACATACAAATTTCTAAAACTATGCCAGACCCGGTTACCATCACGCGGCAGACAACTGAGAAAGATTGTAGCGTATTTACTAAAGCTGCCCTTTTTATTTCTCTCTAGTTATCCTGAATCCCACTCGTTTTCCCCGAGGGCAGTGCTTGCCTGTCGCCACGCTGGTGGGAATCCCTCAGGGGGTGTGCTCACATAAGGGGACTTGGTGAACAGGCAAGTCTTGGAGGGAAGCAAAGATTCTGAGAAGAGAGGGGCTGATCACAGGAGACTTCTGCCTACTCCCACCCACTTCTGTTGCCTGAGTACCACCTGATCTACCCACCTGCGCCTCTTACATCTCCTGTCATCCTTGTAGAAGCAAGAAATGCTTGGGACATCGGTCACTATCCCAAGGTTAGAAGAAGCAGTTAGTGTCTGAAAAGAGCAGTTCAGGCTGACTGATGATACAAGATCCCTCAGCACACATGTCCCTGCACCCAGCTCTGTCCCAGCATCCCTTTCAAGGGGTCCCCATCTCGGCCTGTTGATGAGGGCTCACTTGCCTAGAGCTGGCCCGGCAAGCGCATCCTGATTACATCTGGTCGGGATGCTCGGCGGGGCACACAGCCTCTTTCATCGCCCCTCCTAGTCCACTCTCCTCTGGGCCACCATCATCTCACGCCTGGATTTCACAGTAGCTGCCTCCATGGTCTTGCTGTTTCTACTCTTGACCTCCTACAGTCTGTTCTCAACCCAGCAGGCAACGTGGCTCCTCTCCTTTTTCCTTTACACGTGTATTGAGTACCGATTGTGCTAGTTTCTAAGAAATGCAAAATAGCAGTATGACACGGATCCTGCCGTCAGGGAGGCCAATCTTGTAAAGTCTGTAACATAAAAGAAACTGAAACAAATGTTGAAGTAGGCTTAAGTAGTGTTAAGCCAAAAAAGTTGAAATATTCAAAATTATTTTAAAGCTATTACTCCTCTGCTCAGGATGCTGCAAGGCTACCCTCTTATAACTAAACAGTCAAAGTCCCTTCAAAGTCCTCTAAGTAGGGATTCGTGACCCTAACTTGGTGATTCACAAATGACATATGAAAAACCATTTATTCAAAAATACAGTAAGAATTCAGTTGGATAGTACAGCAGTGTCAAACTGCTACAAAAATCTCTCAACGCTTACTCTCAATTTCAGTTCACATGACTTCCAGTAGCACTGCCCTACGTCATCTGGCTCATGGATCTCATTTATTACTCTCAGCCTCTCTCAGTCTGGTAGATCACGGTGGCCCCCTTGCTCAGGCTCCCCCCAGCCTCAGAGCCTTTGCACTGCCTATTCTCTCTGTTACACTCTGCCCCCAGTGAACAACGTGGCTCATTCCTTCTCCTGCTAGTCTTTGTTAAAACGCCATTTTCTCAATGAGGACTACCCTAACCATCCAAACTGAAAATGAAACCCACCCTCTGCCTCCACACTCTCGATCATTCTTATTCAGCTCCATTACCCTGCAGCTGCAATGGACCCTAATTTCTAGACTAATGGCAACCTTTTGAATTCACACAGTGGCACATCACCCACCTTCCACAGAGAATACAGTACTCATTACCCTGGTCAAATCGCCTTCATTCTTCTATGTTCTATGGACAAAATCTAGATATAACACCTACTCAGACAATTCATTACTTTGGTGACAGTAACATACATGGCTTTGGCCTTCCAATTTCACAACTCAAAACAAAATCCCCTGGATTACCCAGACAACGTAAGAGTTTCGGTACTGTTCTCCCCTATATAGAAAATGGACCTGGCCAGATGAATGGCTTTATATTGGGTATCCACTATAGCTTTTATACTAATGTATCCTGAACAGTGAGGGAACAGGAACCATCTCCAACTTATAACTGGGAGACATGGCCCATTGTGGGGGAGTGGTTTACTTATAGGCAATTGGTACCAGGTCACATATACAGAAAGGTCCTCACTAAAGTGTCTGTAGAGCAGACTGCCCTGCCAGGGCCTCCAGTTTCCAAGACTGTTTGCTCTCCGATTTGTAGGTGTCTGTGTCTTCCACTGTGTCCTGTATCCTACCTCTTTCTGCTTCCATGAGCCTTGATTTGGCCCTTTGGTCTCAGTAGCCCTCTCTGCTCAGCTCCTAGGAGAGCTGGAGGAGTCCTGCAAGGCCAGCAGAGGTTTCATCTCCTGAGAGGCACAGAGCTCTGGGCTACGGCCTCACCTTCCTCAACAGCAACTTGCCCGAAAGCTTCTGAACTACATTTGACACTGCTCCAGAGTCTGGTGGAAATGTTCACAGAGGAGCTCAGCCACTTCCCTATATAGTTGACTGCTCTGCCGGTAACTTGGAGTTTCTTGTAAAACCAAGGCTCACTGAAAACAAACAGGAAAGTCCTGGTTTCATTAGCGGTCAAGGGTGCACCTGCTACTTTTCCATACACCAAGTCTGGCTGTTTTGCATCACTTGTTATTTTTTCTTCCCCCTTTGCTAGTGTCTCATGGGCTTCAAGTCCAGCCCCAGTTGTGGACCTCATAACTTTTCTTCGCTCTGTAGCAGTGAGTATCTCGGGTCTCTGTGTGCTTACTCTGATTCGGCCCAGAGATGGCTTTCAGATCATGAATGGGAAACTGCAAGTAAAGAAACAGGGAGGAGTAATCCAGGCCAAAGCCAGATTCAGAGAATGTCTCCGAACCTCATGGTCAGAGAGACTTCTCTGAAGAGGAGCAGCCTGCATAGGGCAGAACTGATTTGAGGAAGGGAGGTGATCAGTCCTGAGACTGACAAAGGGCTCTTATTGTCTCTTGAACTTCCTGGGCAAAGAAGTAGACTCTCATGGTTGGGTTGTTTTATTAATTTCCTCTGCCACTCATGATATCACAGCTCTGTGTGTGAGCACGTGTTCTTTCATCTTTTACCTGTTCATTGCACAGTCTATGCTTCATTAACTGCTGTCTCCTGCTCTGTTTCTCTTGCTGTCTTTTCTCCCCCCTTGACACTGACCACCTCACACTCTCTGCCCTCACTGCTTTCCTTCTCACCCCCTCCCGTATTCTTGTTCACTGTTTACACATGCTGTCCATCCCTGTCATGAGACATCTAACTCCATTGCTTTTCTTTTCTTTCCGTCTGTGTCCCTGCCCTGTGTCTTCCTTTCTCTCTCTCTCTCTCTCTCTCTCTCTCTCTCTCTCTCTCTCTGTGTGTGTGTGTGTCTGGGTCTTCCTTTCTCTGTCTTCTTTTTCTCTACATCTCTTTCCTACTCTCAGTATTTTCCTGTTTATTTCCTTGTTTCCCTCTATATAACAGACTCCCCACTACCTTTGTCTCCTTCTTTCTTGGATTCTTTCTGACTCTCTCTTTGAACAATGGAACACATCCACACATTCACCTAGGGGGAATGTGGATCCTTACCTAGCAAGATATTTGTCATTCTTCTGCATAACACCCTGTGGAGGGGGCCTTCTGTATAGGTCCAAGTTGTGTCTGCCCTTCCTGACAGAGGGATGCAATTCTGCCCTCACATGTGACTGGCCTCTGTAATAACAGTGGAATCTGCTGTTACTGATAAAATAGCACTACTCTAGCCTGGGGTGGGGCAGAGATAGCAGCATAGTCACCAGGTCAGAGGCAAAGCCAGGCAAGAACAGTCAGGCCTCTGAGGGAAGGATGAGGGTAGGCAAACAGCCATGTGATGACATAAGAGTGGAAAGAATACAAAAACAACCCAGGACAAGCTCGATGAACCACAAAGAAGTATAACATCTCTGGGAAAGAATGAGTTTTAGAGTGAGAGTCAGTACAAGGTGAAATGAGAACTTCAAGAGACAAAAAATGTCAACCACAGCTCACCTGGTTCGGAGCGCAGCACCTGTCTCCTGGTCTTAAATACTCCTCTTTTGGAGATGGTTCCTGGCAGCCTGTGGAGTAACCCAGGCTGGGGAAGAAACATCCACTATTAGAGAGCAGCTTCCACATAACTGAAGTTTCTGAGTGGAATCTCTGGGCCAACAGCATCAGCAGCACCTGGGAATCTGTCACAAATGCATATTCCCAGGCCCTACCTCCGTTCTACTGAATCAGAAAGTCTGGAAGTAATGGCTAGAAATCTGTTTTAACATGCCCCCAGATGAGAATGATGCACCCTTAAGTCTGAGGAAGACTTTCATAGCCAGTCACCTCACTGTGTGTAGAGAAGTTTATTTCACCAGATTGTTCTTCGCATAACTTTTTTTAAAAAGATTTTTTAATTCCAAAGATGTATGTGCATATTATAGAAAGAAAAATATTAAGACAATAATTTGGAGGATGGTGCTGCCCCAGCAGGTATGGCTCAGTTGGTTGGGTGTTTTCCCACAAACCAAAAGGTCACTGGTTCAATTCCCAGTCAGGACACATGCATATGTTGTGGGTTTCTCTCCCTCTCATTCTCCCTCCCTTTCACCTCTCTCTAAAATAAAAAAATAAAATTTAATAATGGTAGGAGGGGAGGGAATGTCTCATAGCCAAATACTAGAGATAACCAGGTACTCCTAAAAATACCATAGTAACTCAAACCTTTTATTTATTTAAGACAAAGATAATATATTCTTTCCCAGATCCCCAGCTTCAAGAATTCTACAAAAGAAATGGTTCATTTTGATGATTAGTAATGGGCCTTCAGAGGACATTTGGAAGTTCCAACACTTAGGATCTGAGCAACCTATGGGAACAGTGAGTGAAGGGAATAGGCTTGGAACCCCATAAGTTCTGCCCCCATGTTTACTTACAAAACCCAGAGCCTCAGAAATCACACACCAGAGAACACAGATTTCACAAGGATTAAAAAGAAATAAATGCTAAGTGGCAAAGAGAGTATATCCTTTAAAAACATAAGCACAAATAAATCTCTTAGATGATTATCCATTTCATCAACAGATGCTTGCCAATTTGAACACCATGAAGATACCATGTTTTCTTCCAGGATTTGAGTTAAATATAGATTAGCTAGCTTTTAAAACTTACTTAGCAACCTGTAATGGCAGCTTTCAATTAAGAAGAAAAAGCAGCAGTGGTCTTTAGGCTATCCAGAAATGTATGGAGCCAGAGTGATTCTTGGAAAGAGATTTATAAATTTTTTTCTTTTTATTATTAAATCATGTTTATTCTATTACAGTTGTTTCAATTCCCCCCCCCTTTGCCCTCCTCCGCCCATTCCATCCACCCCCCTGTCTCACAGTCAATTCCTACTCTGTTGTCCATGTCCATGGGTCATTCATACATGTTCTTTGTTTAGTCCATTCTCCTTCTTTCCACCATTGGCTTCCTTCCCCATCCCCTCTGGTCACTTTCAGTCTGCTCCATGTTTCCGTGCCTGTGGTTTATTTTGTTTGCTAGTTTATCTTGTTGAATAGATTCCATTTATGGGTGAGATCATACAGTATTTGTCTTTCATGGACTGGCTTATTTCACTTAACATAATATTCTCCAGTTCCATCCATATTGTCACAAAAGGTAGGAGTTCCTTCCTTCTTTCTTTCTCCTTTAACTGCATATTTATTTTATTTATTTATTTTTTTAAACATCAAAATCCATTATATTTTATTAAAAAATTTAAATCCATTATAAAATCTCAGCAATTAAAATAGCATGACACCAGCACAGAAATAATCAAGTAGATCAATGAAATATAATGAGCATTCTAGAAACAAATGTATATATCTATCGAACACTGTAATATATAATTAAATTGATATTTCAAATCAATGGGGAAAATAAAGCTTATTCAACAAATAAGGTGCATCGACCACTACTACTTGAAATAAAGCAAATAATAGAGACCTATTTCATACATTATACAAAAAATATTCAGCTGAGTTAAAAATCAATATGTAAAATCTAAGGAGTTTTAGGAGAAAATACAAACTGATATTTTTCTTACCCTGAAGTAAAATATTCAAACCCAGAAGCTATAAAGTAAAATATTGACAATATGACTATATTAAACATTTAAGACTATATAGAAATATACATATAAAAAAGTTAAAGGACATGTAATAGAATAGGAAAGTATTTGCAACACATGTAAAAAAGGGTTAATAGTTTTGTTTTTTTAGGGAAAAAATTCTACAAACATTTAATCAAAAAATGGATAAAGAGTACCAAATAGTTATTTAAAGCTTTTTAAAATAATAGAAATAGGCAAGAAATATACAAAAACAGGTCTAGTTCAACAAATAATAAAGTAACAATTAAAATAATACATCATTGTCACAATCAGATTAATAACTATTGAGAATATTGGTAATACCAAGTACTGGTGACAGTGAAAGAAACTGGGTATTCATAGAATCTTTTTCTTTATCTTCTTAAAGCAGTCCCTTTAACATATTTTGCAATGCTGGTTTTGTGGAGGAGTATTCTTTTAGCCTTCTTTCGTCTGGGAAACTCCCTATTTTGCCTTCCATTTGAATTGAGAGCCTTGCTGGGTAGAGCAGTCTTGGTTGCAGGCCTTTGCTTTTCATGACTTGGAATATTTTTTGCCATTCCCTTCTGGCTTGCAGTGTTTCTGTTGAGAAGTCTGCTGCTGGCCGTATTGGGGCACCCTTATATGTTACAACCTCTTTCTCCCCTGCTGCCTTTAGGATTCTCTGTTTGTCTTTGATATTTGCCATTTTAACGATGAAGTGTCTTGGAGTGGGCCTCATTGGGTTCCTCTTGAATGGGACCCTCTGTACTTCCTGGACTTGTGTGACTTTTTCTCTCCTCCAATTAGGGAAGTTTTCCATCATGACTTTTTCAAACAGGTTCTCTATCCCTTCCTCCTCCTCTTCTCCTTCTGATAACCCTATTATACAGATATTATTACATTTCACATTGTTTTAAACATCACTTCATTCTTTTTGAGCCTTTTTTCATTTTCTTACTCTTTCTGGGAGCTTTTTTCTACCTTATCCTCCAGCTCACTGATTCGATCTTCTCTTTCATCTAGCCTGCCTTAGATTCCTTCTACTGTGTTCTTTAATTCAGAAATTGTATTCTTCATTTCCTCTTGTCTCTTATTGATAGTTTCTATGTCCTTTTTCACGCTGGTATAGTTTGCAGTAAGTTCCTCGTAGTTTCCCTGTAGTTTTTGGTAGTTCTCCCTGAGCTCACTGAGCTCATTGAGTTTCCTGAGAACTGTTGTTTTGAACTCAATACCTGATAATTTACTTGCCTCTATTTCATGTAGTTCTCTTTCTGGGGATTCCTCCTTTCCCTTCGAGTGGGGCGTATATCTTTGTCTTCCCATTATTTGTGAGACTCTTCTCTTTTGCTTCTGATTCATAAGTTGATCTGTCTTGATTTCCTAGCTTTGTGGTGTGAACTCCTATGGTAGGAGACCACTATTTTTTCTTTCTGGATCTGCTTCTGATGATGTCAGATGTTGACCATGTGTGACCTTAGGCAGCGTGTTCGAGACTTCCAGGAATCTGCTGTCAGCAGCTGTCTCCTCCAGCTGTTAATCTAGTCACTCTGCACTCAGCAGGCCGGCTTAGAGACACCACAGGGCAGGGCAGAGTCCCTTCTGGGAGTGGGGTTATTGGGTCCTCTCACGCTGCTGCCACTCAGGGGAGTGGTCTGCCTGAACCAGATGGCTGCTGCCGTGTAGGGGAGGAGT